TATTTAGAATATATAATTCTAACAACTATACAATGCCAACGCAGTCTGTGTGTTCGAACAATAGGGCAGCATGTTGTGGCGTCACACCGAAAACGGCATTCCCAACGAATCGGTATGTACGCATACCACACCTCCTTTTTATCAATACATGCTGATTTCTCATTCGATTAAATTTAGGTTTAAATATTTACGTTAGTGTTGGCCTCTGACAGTTCGAAGAGACCAGAACGGAAGTGAACTTGGTGGTGAGAACAATCGGTACTGTCGACAATACGACAACATCATTGAATGGGAGTTTAAGACAAGTGGCTCAATCAAACCCGCGGTATGGATCATCATTTCCAATAGCTATGTGCATGCCTAGTATAGCTCTTGCAATCTTGAAGAGATAACAGATTTAATTAATCTTTTTAAAGGCATGGTACGAGGAATAAGTCTTACGATTCGTTATTTAAACATAAAAAACAATATACTATATTGTTTCGATTATTCTTAATGTTATTTTATTAGGCAAGATTCATTATTTCTTGGACTGTGCGAAGGTATGTACACCAATGTAATCTAATAAACCATTGCGGAAATCAAGGGAGTAGATATTGGAAATCAAGGGAGTAGATATCAAGCACAAGAAGGAGATAAAGGTGATCAACATGGTACCCTGGTGTCAGAAAACAGCATCGGTGTCTACCACGACCACTTCTACATATACCATCTGGATCTTGACATCGATGGCGTGAACAACTCTTTTGAGAAGACGAGTTTGAAGACGGTGAGAGTGACAGACGGAAGCTCGAAGAGGAAAAGCTATTGGACGACTGAGACTGAAACTGCTGAGAGCGAGAACTATAATAAATATCCCTAGTTATAAGGTATATAAAGCAACTGTAAAAGGTGACACTCCAGAAATTATCCCTAGTTAAAAACTATAATAAATATCTCTACATTTCCTTATTTTTAATATTTTTTCTTGATGATATTTTCGGATTAAAAAAATGTCTTCCAAAATATCTAATCTGATCTGATGTATAAGAAAGAAATTTATAAAATGAATATTCTAAAAGGTAATTTTAAATTAATAACTTTCTGAAACAGTTATTTTTTTATTTATTTTTTATATTCCAAAACATTCAATCTAGGATATAAAATCTATATAATTAAATCACTATTTCAAATTATTAAGGAGTGATAATGGGTGTAAAAATATTATTACTGGTAAATATTTATAAGGTATAATAAAAAGCAACGCTATAAAAAGTTACACTCCCGAAACTATCCCTGGTTAAAAAGTATAAAAAATATCTCTACTCTTTCATTATTTTGAATATTTTGTTTGGAAGATACTTTTGGATTTAAAAAGTGCCTTTCAATATATTTAATCACAAGAAAGAAATTTATAAAATGAGTATTCTAGAAGGTAATTTTAGATTCGGAATAACTTTCTGAAACACTTATTTCTGATTTTTTTTATATTTCAGAACATCAAATCTAGAATAAAAAAAATTACAAAACGAATGTTTTAGAATGTAATTGTGAATTTAGAATTGACTTCTGGATGAAATTTTACATAAATGACTTCCTATTGATGGTAATGTAGATGGGTCATGCGGGTCAATCTGCAAGACAGATTGAATATTTTAGCTTGTTGATAATTGTGAGTATAAATATTATTATATTCTCATTTCACTTATTTATTAAATTATCTATTTTCGGTTGGCGACACACATCCATTTGATGTGGATCCACATGAGTATTTTTATTATTTTAACTGAAAAATAGATCATTGAGATTTCAACACCATAATCTTTTTTACTGTCATTTAATACTATTACTCGTTATTATTGATTTATTCTTTCATTTAAAATTACAAAAGTTAAAATTTGATAAGACTATTTTACCTCGATAATAACGAAATGTTATCAAATAAGCTTTTTCTTACAAAGATGGGACATACCCCATTTTTGGCTGAAAATACGTGTTGAATTAATGCGTAAAATATATTATGTTTTTTCCTTGTTTTGTTTTTCTTTCTCTGAGGCAATGCGACCATTGAAGAACGAGAAAGCTAAAGAAAAGTCCATGGCAAAAATGGTAATTAAGCTAGGAGAGAAGCTTGGCATCCCTGAGCCGCGTAAGATCATGAATGAGGGCTGTTAAATTCTTGTGAGATGAACCTCCTTCTCCAACAGCTTCTTGCGCCTTTTTCCCAAACTCTTGTGCACGCCGTCTCACTTCTTGCGCTTCATCGCCACCGTCCATTATCCGCCTCACACCTCTCTCAATGCTGTTTCTGCACACCAACATCTGTCTCTCACCAAACCCTATTGAGTTCCACTCAGCTACGCCCACCTCCACCCCAATTCCCCGCACCTCGCTTATCAGCTTCTCGTTGTAGAACTGTTCTCCGTGCACCGGCCAAGTAATCATGGGGACGCCACCACTCACAGCCTCCACGGTGGAATTCCACCCACAATGACTCAAAAATGCTCCAACGGCGCGGTGGTTCAGGATAACCAACTGTGGAGCCCACCCCCTGATAACCATCCCCTTCTCTGCATTCCTTTCTTCAAACCCCTCGGGCATCCACTTCTCCTCTTCCTTACTCTCCTCCTTCCCCTTCTTCTCCGGCACCACCCATATGAACCCATGACCTGACGCTTCAATCCCGCATGCAATCTCGTAAAGCTGTTTATCCGGGAAATGACAAAGGCTCCCAAAGCATATGTACACCACCGAGTTTTCCGCCTTAGAGTCAAGCCAACTCACGCACTCATGCATACTCACCACGCTCTTCATGCCCCTCTCTGCTTTCTCTTCAGGGGTTCTTGGTATGAGAGAGGCCGGCCCAAGATGCCAAGCCTTGTGCCCCGTCGTTTTCTCGTAGTAGCGGATGTATTCTTCTCCGTCGAGCTCCGCGAAGTTGTTAACGATTAGGCCGTAGCTTCCGAGCTCCATCTCCAGGTACTTATTAAGGAATTCGGCCAACTCCTTCGGTGGTGATGCGTTGAGGGTTATGGAGTGAGGGAGGGTGGGACTGAGAAGAGAATTGGAAGAGTGAGAGGAGGAGTGTAGGGCGCAGACGGTGAAGAGGGAGAAGCCGTTGAAGACAAGTCTGGGGATGTTAAGGTTGTTGGCCAAGTCATGAACCCAGGGGAATAGAAAGTCGGCGACGATGCAATCAGGTGGATTTTCCTCCACGAAATTCTGGATGGGGGTTTGGAGCAGGGTGGTGGCGTTCATGACCTTAACGAGTTGGTCAGCGTCGGTGACGGAGGAGATGTTTTCGATGCCGTCGGGGAGACCGACTTCTTGGGAGGGAAATTGAAAGGTGTGGAAGCGGAGGAAGGGGTGGGAGGGGATGGATTTGCGGAGAGTTAAAGCGTTGGAAGGGGTGCTGATGATGGTGACATGGTGGCCACGAGAGACGAAGAGGGTGGCTATGTCGCATAGTGGGATCATGTGACCTGCTGCTAGGGAATGAATGAAGTAGAGTTTGAGTGGCCTCGTTTCCTCCATGGCCTTGCGCTGTCTCAATTGCGTGTCTTCTTCCTATATCACTACCATTTTATACTCTCACAATCACCCCTAGAGAATTGCAATGATCCAACTTTCCGTAGTAATTTTCGTAGCTTATTGGAGCTAACATCGATATGCTTACTTTCATCACGACACACTAAATTTAGAAAGTTTTTTAGTTTAATGTATATTACAATATTTTAACTTTTACCAACACCCAAACTCCTTCACATATACATATTCCAAAAGAGCAGTAATACAATGACACGCTTACGTGTCACTTACATTCATTTGACACGCTCCACGTCAGCGTTTTCGAAAAAAACTTGCAGACTGAGTAAGGGTAAAAGGGGAAAGACCAAAATTTGGGTAAGTTTTCTTTCGAGGTTCGTTCAAACATCCCATTTAGGCCATTTAGGTTTGCTTTCTCTGGCGTATTGTTTTCCATCGTTTTTCATTGGCGCCTTCGATTTCCATTTAAAAAAGCTTGTTCAATCGGCGATTGTGAAGGTTTTTGATAGGTGTGAAGGTTTCGCTCTCAAAATCTTGTGCGTACTCGCTCTGCTTCTTAATCTCGTGGCCAATTCGTTCCAAAAACCTAACCCTAAAACGCCAAAAATCACGCTTTCGCAGGCTCACGTGTAACTCGTCAGCTACGGCTTACCCTCCAGTCTTCTTCCCGCCACCACCGTCCTGGTATGCCGTGAACCGACCAGCGGGTTAGTTTTAACCGTCCAAGCTCGGTTGGCGCGTCAAAATCAAGCTCCCGCCTGCGGACAACTACGTTGCCAACCTACTCCGACATACCATCTCTTGAAAATCGTGAGGGGTAAATTTGCGAACTTGACGAATTGAGGTTCTCGGCATTCTTCAAAGGTGGGGTCCGATCACCGAATCCGTCCCTTCCTCCGACGACTATCGTCTTCGGAGTCGGCATGGTGGACGGCTGAAGTTCCATCGAAGAATTTCGATATCCCCGTGGGCCCCAACACGTCTTCTTGATGACAAGTGTTAGTTTTTTTTTTTTTTTTCGCCTCATGTTTCAATCGTGCTCATATTTACTTTGATTATTATTTGCAACACATAATTTAATCGAGTTCTCTCAGTTTTGTTTTTGTTGTAAATGTTTATGTATATTTGGAAATCAAAGTTTTTGGATGGATAAATCCCTGACTGAGAACCGCTCCACTGTTATATGGTTCTTTTCATTTTTCCATGTCTTGAATATTTCCCATTGTCTTTTAATGTTAAAAAAGAAACAATGTTGACACATGGCCATGAAAAAAAAAGTACTTTGTTGTCTCTATTATATAATAGTCTGATTAGTTGGCTTGTGTGTAGAGCTCATTAGAATTGCAAGCCTACGTTAGCCCTTTTTTCGGGTTTTTAGTGTATTTATTGGGGATATGAACTTTCAAATGTCATCATTAAAGTTTTGAGATATGTGGTACTTACGGTTTTTTGTTAATATGATTAATAAAAAGCATACAGTTATGTTATGATTTTAACTTTGGTGGTGTAGAATTTGACTACTTTTTCTAGACGTGGCCGCCCCTACCAACATGTTTCATAACTGTGCCTCCACAACCCTAATATCAAATATATTTGATGAAATCTAACCTTCAAAACCACAACCATTGTGTTCATAAGCAATTGAGTATAAAAACCACATAAGACCCTAATATATAACAATTTACTGCACTTCACCACAGAAATGTGATTATTGTTATTGAATTTAACCAACTTTTATTGTTGTAGAGAACAGTCTTTCCAAAATAACCACATAGGACTTAGTAGAAAACCACATACTGCAACCAATAAATTTGATAAAATACTTCTTAAAAACCATCAAACATTTGTTGTTCGTAAAGCATTGAGTAAAATACCACTTAGGCATGAGTACATAAGATTTACTGCACTAATAAATGTGATAATTGATATTGAATTTAACTACTTTATTATATTTTATTTGTACATAACTACCTTAACAAATAACCACATAACACTTAAGATATAACCACTTACTGGACCAATGCTTGTGAAATCAGTTTTTCCTTCACTAATGCTACGAAAACTAACGAAATTTATGACCATTAGGGACCTTATCTTCCATGGATGTGAGATTCAGAGGTAAGTAGTAGCCATGTTTCTATGTGTGTCTTCCTTGCCATCTGGCTTTGGCAAGGATGTTTTATTGTGTTGTTTACTTATATTTGATATTGCAGAATAGCATATTTACCATTGCTTTAAAGATTGAAGAGGTGTAAATTTTGCTTTTTAGTTGTATGACACTTGATTTTTTGGATTTGATGTGTCATCATCATTTATTGGGCAGTTTGGGATAGTATCATTTCTTCTTTTCCTTGCTCATCCCATCAAACCACATTTTTCCTCCACCCTCAATTAAATATATAATTACTTTTTTCTTTTCTAATCAGACAACAAATCTATGTTATCATCTATATAAACCAATTGCATTTTTATTTAATTGTTTCATCTTGCAGGACTCATTCTCATCCCTCTATCTTCCTCCGTTGAATGCATTGTATTTTCCTAGATCCACTCTTAGTGTTGCATCTCCCCTTAGATTCCTCGTTTTNAATGATATGATTATTACAAAACTATGAAGAACACAATCATTCTCCTGTTGATGATAAACACAAGGTAACGAGCTAAGTCTTAATCTAAAGGGAAAAAATGAAGAGTTGTTATCATAGAATAATTCACATTCCAATCCAAATTACTGCTAACAAGCAACATTTATGATTCAATAACCCAGTGTCCCAACATTCAACCAACTAAAGATGATAAACTATGCAGAAAACTTTGGAAAAAACTAGTATGTACATTAAGGTTGAATATGTCATTAGAGTGATCCAAACATGTTACTAGAGTGATTTAAAAACACATGCAATCAACTAAAGTATAACTTACTTATTGAGAAGAAAAACTTAGAAATCCATGTAGGAAGCAGACAAGGTGTGTTGTTCAAAGCATCCTACGATGTTTCCTTAGAAATCCTTGACAATATTTTTCTTACTCCAACCAGGTCTTCAAATATTAATCTCTGCATATTGCTTATCCGTTATGTATATATATAATATTAATCATAAGTGCCAAGGAGACAAAGACATTCAACCTTTCTTTGGCAAAACATGCACAAACATATGGGTTATGCAATGCTCATCCTTGAGTTTCTCTTAAAAATTGTAACTTTTTCATTTACTGAAATGAAATTGTGTGTAGCACTTACCTCTTCAAATAGCCTTTAGAAAGAAATATAGTATAATCTACTCTTTGGCATGCTTATCTGTCATATATAACTCATTTAAACACAATCGATACTATAATATTTGAAATACAACAATTTGAACTACAATTATTGATTCGAAAAACAAAAATATTGCGATACCTCTCGAAAGATGATGACAGAGTATGGTAAGTGAGAGAGAGAAAGCATGCTTCCAATTCCTTTTCATTGTTTCGACTTGGGACAATATAAATTGGGTACCTATTCAATGATGAAAACTCAGTATAACATTTATGTACCATGGAAATTAACAAAGGCTAATCATATGATAGAAAGTAACATAAACAAGATAAGATGAACTTTGCAATGAGATCAACCACATTATCACATTTAGAATGGTTTCCATACATAATCCAGCATATACTTCCAATATGAATCATGCATTATTCTTCTTCCAACCTATCAATCAAGGCATACAAGATTAAGGGTACAAATTAGAATGAATAATTGAGAAAAATGTAGATCATTTTTATATATAATAGACTTCAAAGTAGCCACAACTGCCTCTTTTGTTGACTTTGTTAATTTAGACATGGTCTTGCTCTATAGCATTTGCTCTTCTTCCATGTGGAGGATACATGTAGTAAGCAAGCAACAAATCAATAATTACATCATATCTAAATTTTATATGCAATTTGTTTTAGAAGAATTAGAATTGACATGGGTATAATGAGGTATTAAGTTGTTCTGTAAGACACAGTAAAATATCTATAATCTCCATCATCCAAAGTTACAAATAGTTAGTTTATGAGTGCACCTTCTCCGGGAACTTCTCACGGTTCATTGATGCTTCAAAATAGTCTCCAAAATCTGTGTAAAATCTTCCCACTGCAAAACATCACAAATATTTGACGCCCGAAAAACATAACTAGTGACAATATACCAAAATTTCTTTATCAAATGCTACCTAAACCCTAGGTATTTTTAACATACAAGACAAATCAGCATCACCAAAAGAAGAAATAGAGAAAATAAAAATAACCAACTTGATATTCGATGATAATTCGAGAAAACAGGGCAAGAATTTGAAGAAGCACATAGAACGGGCTTGGAGCATTCCAATTCGAACAATATGCGTGCATCCTCAGTCTGGTGGACAAAAACCTTCTCCTTCGCAACCATAAAAAAGTGGTCACTAGGCGCATTGAACTTGACCAGAGTAAGTTCCTTGTTGAGGCGCAAGCATCAGTTGCAGCGGACGAAATTGACGACGGCAAGGCAGTTGTCACGGGCAACGGTGATGGCGCGTTGATTGGACGAATGTAGGGCGAGGTCGTTGATAGCAGCATTGCGGTGGACGGAGACCATGGTAAAAGCCTTCCGCGCTCCACACCGATCATCTACTTTGACTTCGCTGGTTCGAACTTTTCCGATCAGGTCCAGTCTCCGGTTAAGTGGCAGTCATTAAGTCCTCCCTTTTTTTTTTCTTTCTCGCATTCTCTCTCAACCCTAACCCTAGCACGCACACGAAGAGTTCCTCTTTCAAAATCAAATGGGCGACCTGACAAATTCAAATTTGAGAGAGGACCCTAACGCAGCAGCTCCCTTCATTGAAACGCACAGTTTCATTTATTCTTTTACCAAACCAGCGCATGCAAATGACAAATTTACCCTTGATGACATTGACAGTGAATGGGCCCCACTGCGTGTCAAATGAATGTCATTTACTTAAACCGTGTCAAAGAATCATTTTTCATTCCAAAAAATGTCATTGTCGGTAATCGGATAAGTCCTATCGAGGAAGCGAATTTTTAAAAACATTATTTTTTTAGACAGACTTGTTGAAATCGAACTCTTGTTTGTGATTGACAACTAATGTGATTTTGTTTTATCTCCATGCCACATCCCATAATTTTCCACCACATGACTGTGGAAAAATGTGGATAATATACAACACTAAGAAGTTGCCACGTGGTTCACCGAATACCACTAATTTCTAAATTTATAATATCATGTTTGATTAATTTTATAAATAAGAAAGTTTTCCTGTCATTTTTGAAAAGCCAATTATTTTTAGTTTATAATTAGTTAATTGGTAGGCCAATCTAATTTTAGTCATAATGATCCACTTACTATTTCTATTTAGTCAACGACACACAGCTACAGTTTGTCATCTTCAACTTAATTGGGACTTTTGAAAATAAAACTATCAGCAGAATAAACAATGATCTTAACTCTACCATATAGGTCTAATTTTAACTGGTTGCTTTAAACACATTAATTATTAGAAAAAGATTATTTAGGTTTATGTTATTTAATTTTGTTCTCGATTATACCTTTTTGCAAAAGGGAGAAAATAATAACGTGTCATTTATGAAAATAATAAATGAGTCAGAACAAACAATCTGTTAAAAGTTACAAAAAATTAATATAAAAATATTAATTATTTTTCATTATAAATTTATTCCATAAATTAAAGAGCACGTAGAATAAAGCCTCGAGGAACATCGTCGTTTACTACTATATATGTGAAAATTAATAAAACTCAACCCTCTCATATTTATTTAAATTCCATTTGAATTCTTAAAATTGACTCAATTTTTTATTTATCCAGATGTCTAATCTAAAACTTAACTGAAAACAATAACATGTGTTTAAATTAAAGACTGAAGAATTATTTTTTGAAGTCGAAATAGTTTAAAGATTTAGTTGCTCTTATTATTGTAAATATTTATAATATGATAGAAAAAAATATAATTTTAAACGATAAATTGATTATTTATTTCATTGAAGAATAAAAACATCACCTTACCAAACTTCTTGCTAGACATATCAACATAATGTAGGATGAAAACTTATTTTATGAATCCATGATTGAAGTTTATGTTTTATTTTAATTTAAGCAATTTTTTTCAAACGAAGTTTAATTTTTTTGCATGTACTTTTTTATTTCTTTTACTAATTTCTTTTTAAATGAAATGAGTTGTGAATTTGATCTCTTGCCATTTGTGTGCAAATAAATATACGAAAGTCAATCTTTTGTCTGACTCTAAATTACTTAAGAATGTCGTGTGAAGCCTTTGTTTATTGAGGGGTTTATTAATTATTTTAATCATATACATAAATACAAACATGTTATAATTCTAATTGTAATTGACACGTTAAGAACACTAATAACTTATATTGCATTATTTTTATTTTTTCTGTTGTACTAACAAAAATAGGCAACAATAAATTTGTTTGAATGTCATTGCAAGTGAATAGTAGCAATTAAGTAACAAAGAATTGTATTCAATGGAATTTGCAACATGTTTAGGAAGAACAGGTGAACTAGGGAAATGAGTATGAGTATGTAAGTTGTTTGGAATACAATGCATAATACTTCTTGATGAAGAGTTTGAGGAACATCGTATTGAACGAGTCACTCTGGCTTAGTGTTTCTCGGCCGTTTGAGATAATCAATCAAGGCCGTTAAATTGTTGTAAGATGAGCCACCCTCTTGAACAGCTTGCCTCGCAGTTTCCCCAAACTCTTTTGCTCGCCGTCTGATTAGCAAGGATTCATCAGCGCCGTCCATGATCCTCCTAACAGCCTTCTCAATGCAAGCTCTGCCCACAAGCTTTTCATTCTCGAAGAAAGCTGAGAGGTTCCACTCCTCTGCGCCCACCTCCACCCCAATCCCCCGCACCCGCGTTATTAACTTCTCGTTGTAAAACTGGTCACTGTGAACGGGCCACGTAATCATGGGAACCCCAGCAGCTACGCTCTCTACGGTGGAGTTCCAGCCGCAGTGAGTCAGGAACGCGCCAACTGCGGGGTGGTTCAGGATAGTCATCTGTGGGGCCCAGCCTCTGATAATCATCACCTTCTCTCCGGTCCTCTCCTCAAACCCCTTCGGTAGCCACTTCTCTTTCTCTTCTTCATTGTCCTCTTCCTTTTCTTTCTTCTCTGGAACCACCCATATGAATCCATAACCCGACGCTTCGATAGCGCATGCAATCTCGTAAAGCTGTTTATCCGGGAAATAGCAGAGGGAACCAAAACTTATGTACACCACCGAGTTCACTTGCTTCGAGTCAAGCCAACTCACACACTCCTGCATACTCACCACGTTCTTTGCCCCTCGCTCTGATTTCTCTAGAGCAGTTCTGCGAGCAAGACACGCTGGCCCGAGGTGCCAGGCCTTGTGCCCAGTAGTTCTCTCGTAGTGGCGGAGGTACTCTTCCCCGTCAAGCTCGACGAAGTTGTTGATAATGAAACCGTCGCTTTTGAGCGCCATCGCGAGCAGGGGTTCCAAGAATTCCCGCGAGTCCTTAGGCGGAGATGAGCTCAAGGTGACGTGGTGAGGAAAATCGGGAATAGCAAAGGGACCGGTGGCATGGATGCTCAGCGTTTTGACGGACTCCATGGCGCAAATGGAAAAGAGGGAGAATCCATTGAAAACGAGCCTGGGGATGCAAAGCTTGTTTGCCAAGTCATGGACCCAGGGGTATAGAAAATCGGCGACGATGCAATCCGGTGGGTCCTGCTCGATGAAACTCTCGATGGGTTGGCGGAGTAGCATGGTGGCCGAGTAGATTCTATAGGAATTGTCGATGTCGGTGACCGCGGTCAAGTTTTCGACTCCGACGGGCAGACCTACTTCTTGGGAAGGGAATTGGAAAGTGTGGAGACGGAGGTTATGGGATGGTTTAAGGTGTTGGGCGTTGGAAGGGGTGGTGATGATGGTGACGTGATGGCCACGTGAGGCGAAGAATTGGGCTATGTCGCAGAGAGGGATCATGTGACCGGCTGCGAGGTAGGGAATGAAGTAAAGCTTGAGTGAGTGGTCTTTCACGTCCATTCTGCCTGAACTCAATTCAACACAACACTCTTTGGCACCCACTTTACAGTTTAAATTACTTATACGCTAGATAGTTTGAACGAGGCAAAAGCCGTTTTTGTTGACGAAGCTTCGCCGGTTGTGAATCTAACCCTAAACAGGACAGGACAAAACATGCGAGTTGGCCAATGCCAATTTTGCTTTGGAAGCAATGGGAACGGTTGCCATTTGAAATTATCACAACCATCTTATCCTCAGACCTTGTGAATTATGTAACTCTTATGCAATTAAGTAACTGTTGCTTATCCTTTTTTAATTATTTTGTTTATTACCTGGAGAATGGGAAGATGTTTACGAGGAACCACGTGGATACAAGAAATCATATACAGATCATCATGTTGTCTTCATGTGCAGACCTTGATAGCGACAACGCCAAACCGACTCGGCGAGGGGACAAACATACGTGATTCGTCTCTGATTTCTTCTATCATATTATCACCATCTCACTAACATGTTATGATGGTACTTTTTTTTAGGTACGTGGGGGTGGAATTCTTTTAACGTGCCGTTTTTCATTTTTAATTAGCTTTTGTTTATCAAATTCTGGTACAGAAATACAGTGTCCAAACATGATTAATTGTGGAAAGTTGAAATATATGATCTCATTATATGAAATGGCATTAGATACAAACAAATAGCATGAATTTCTGCCATTAACTTAGGTAACAATTCACATTTGAATTTTGAATAATAAAAAGTGATGTATGGATAGGTGTCAGATCAATCACTACACAAACAATTAACCACTCTTGATTGAATGGATAAAATAGACATTGAAATAGTTACAATTGACCCATTAATAAAATATTAATCATTTATTAATAATAGGTCAGACCTTGAAAATAAGCTCATTCTAGTATATATAAATATATATTTGATAAGAATGTCAAATAACTCATTCTAAAAACTTATTTTCTATTAAAATTATTATGTAAAATTACTGAATTGAGTGATTGAATACTTTGACACGTATCCTCCTATGTGGTTTGGACAAAAAAATGAACAAACAATGCAAATTTAAAATAATCTTCAAAGTGCTTTCAATAAGAATTTCAAACATTTTACCCGAAACACACGTGTAAAAAATTTAAATTTCATATTTTGAATCTTTTCATTTTAGGAGTTTTTCAACTTCGAGATGGTATTTGTAGGTAATTTTTTTCAAAAACAAAAGTAATCGCGTAAGCTTTTGCAACAGAGCATAAAATGTATATTGAAGAAGAAAGACTCAACTTACATTTTTTATAATACAAAAATCATTACAAATCATAAAGGAATAGTTATTTATACCATTATCTTGTAATAAATTTTATTAATTTTACTTCAGTAATTTAATTAAGAAAAAGTTATTTTAAGACCAGCGTTTATAAATACAACTATTTAACATCAGCGATCGATAATAAAATATTAAATTTAGACAATATTTAAAATACAGACCAAATTATTGAATAAAAAACAGTATAAATAACTGTTAAGAGTAAATATGAGTTTTAAGGGGTTGTAAAATTATAACATCCCTCAATTAAATAGTTTAATATTTTATTATTGTCTAGAATCGTGAAAGAAAAACAAAAATAGCTCCTCCTTTTTGAAGTGCTTAAGACAAGAATGAGACAAAGTTAAAAGCAGTGGTAACAGTTGTTCAGCAATAAAAGAACCTCCATTTCCATGTATGGCCTTCATCACTGGACAAGTGTCGATCGAATGAAAAATTATTAAAGAAGGAATGAAAACGAGAACATTACTAAATTTAATCAAGGAAACGACATGTAAGATTGATAATAAAAGCACCAACAGGCATACGTTATTCTGGCGAGCAGTGTGAAGGCATAAGGATTAGCGTGTGTCTCTGAGGTGCGTGAGATGAGCAATGAGCGCAGTTAAATTATTGTGAGAGGACCCTCCATCCCCAACAGCTTCTTTAGCCTTAATTTAAACATTTTATATTCTTAATTTAAACTTCTATATAATTAAATCACTATATCAAATTATTGAGGAATTATAAAGGGTGTAAAAATTTTATTATTGGTAAATATTAATAAGGTATAAAAATCAACAGGGTAAAAAATGACATTCTCGAAATTACCCGTTATTAAAAGTATAATAAATATTTGTATACTTTCTTATTTTTAATATTTTTCGGGTTGGACAGAAAGATATTTTTGAATTTAAAGAATCTCTTAAAATAGAACATTAATGTTTTATATATCTCTATAATATAAATATATTATGAATAAAATACATTTAAACTTCCAAACAATTTAAAAATATATATTTATGCAAGTTTTTAGTTTATAATTAATTAAAAAATATATAATATTAATTTTAAATGTAATAAATAATTTAGTTTGTTTCTATTCATGATCCGAACCAAATCATTCAATTCAGAAAAAAAAATTATAAAATATTATTTTTAATCTGTTATTTACAACATATTGTAAATTATAAGTATTTATAACTTTTTTTTATTTCTTAAACTGCAAAATTATTTATCAAGTTTATAAACAAGTAATTCTATCATTTCATCACGTATAGTTAATTGACTTTATAGACATTGTAACAATATTATGGATCTAAAAAGATATATTATGGATCTAAAAAGATTTGTGTAGTTTTAGTTTTTATGAAAAAATGTGATTTTGTTATAGGTACAAAAAGATCGAGGATATTAAATAAACAATACATATGCATTAAAAAACAAATTATTGACTGTCAACTCAATATTTTCATTTAAAAAGCATTAATACCAAAAACATGTTCACTAACCAAAAATTATGGCATGTTTACTAAAATGATTAATGCATAATATAAACAATCATTAAGTTAGTTAAAAATAATTGATTCCTAATTAAAACATTTGTAGTTATGTAAGTTCAGTATTTTTCTTTAATAATTGGCTACTGTATGATACTAATTTCAAATATAATATTTTTATTTTGTAAAATAAGTAATTTTTTCACAAATGTGTGGGATGAATTTATTTATTTATTTATTTATTATTATTAACATTAATATTATTATTATTATTACTATATTAGTAATATTATTCGTAGTAGTACTATTCCTATTATTAATATTAGGGTTAAATATGTTTTTAGTCCCTAAACTATTGGCCGTTTCTTGTTTTCGTCCCTCTTTCAAAGTAAGGTACAATTTGGTCCTCATTCTTTTCGAAACGTTCGTTTTAGTCCTCGGAATTTTGGTTTTAGTCCTCATTTTGTTGCTAAATGAGGACCAAATTTTTAAACTTTGTTAGTTTTCGATGACTAAAACGAACGTTTTCGAAAAGAATAAAGACCAAATTGTACCTTACTTTCAAAGAGGGTCGAAAACTAGAAACGGCCAATATAGTTTAGAGATTAAAAACATATTTAACCCTTAATATTATTATATATTATTATTAGTGATATGATTAGTACTTAGTGTTATCAAAACAAGTCAAAACTTAACTTATTACAAGTTCAAAGTAGACTGGTTTATAAAAATTTGTAAATTTTGGTACATGTCAAAATTAAACCTAACTGGTAATAGGATGCTAAAGAAACAAAGTTTATTCTACATAAAATCATATAAAATTCTTTTGGTCATTTAATTAAAATCTTTTATAAATCTGTAAACTTCGCGTGGAAGCAAAACCACAACTTTAACAGTGTCTAAATAACGCATAATAAACTATAACAATTCTTTTACAAAAAGAAACAAAGTCCAATGAAAACAAAACATAAAAATCCAACTAGTATTTTTTTTTTCTCGTGGATTTACTCCACTTCAATTGTCTGTAACATCATCTTCTTCTCTATATGCAATGGTGAGTAACCAGAGTAATGACCTTATCGAAATTTAAGTTCTGGTTTCTTTGTTTTTTCTTATTTTTCTCTTTTATGTTATTTTGATTTTAATTTGTTATGTTTTATATTTTTATTCTGTATTTATATATTTTAATATTTTAAAATATGTTTGAAATAAATAAATTGTTATATAATTATTTTTATTTATTTAAATATTATTTATTATGTAATTTCTTTTTTGTTTGTTAACTTTTTTATTTCTTGGTTATTTTATTTTGAATTTTTAATTTGTTTTATATTATTTATTTACTTAGTATTATTTATTATGTAATTATTCAAATTTTTTATAACTTTTTTATTTGTTTCTTATTTAAATTTTAATTTTTAATGTTTTTTATATTTTTTATTTATTTAAATATTATTTAATATTTAAATATTTTATGTTATTTATATTTTTTTATTTGTTTTGTATTTTATTTTCAATTTGTAATGCTTTTCTATATTTTTTATTTATTTAATTATTAATTATTATGTAACTAGTTTTTGTTTATTTTTATTTATTTTTTGTTTTTTAATTTATTTTGAATGTGTAATGTTTTTTTATATTTTTTATTTGTTTAAATATTAATTATTATGTCTTTATTTTTTTTGTATTTTTTTCTTGATTTATTTTGTATATGTAATGATTTGTTATATATTTTTTTGTTTGAATACTAATTATTATGTCATTATTATCTTTTTGTTTGAATACATCCATTTCATCATTCACCTCATAAATACCAAAAATGCTGCTACTGACCTTTGAAAACCGGTTAAGAAATTATTTAACACGAGTTCAAAAATCGATTAACAAAAAATCTTAACCGACATCCGAACGCGAGTTAAGTTTTTTTCTTAAAGAAATTCACTTTTTTAAATTTAATAATAATAAACAATTAATTAATTTAACATTTTTCATATTACTATAATTATTTTTCATATAATTTAATAAACAATTATTATTATTATTATGGATTAAAAACAAAAAAAAATTAAAAAAAAAATTAATTAAAAATACTGTTGATATAAAATAGGTTTAAATGCTTATTTCGTGTTAAGAGGTGAATTTTTGTTTAGTATCTGGTTTTAAAAATGAAAACATTGGGCCCCTATGGTATGTTATGAAAAGGATGTGAATAAGGTCCACAAAGAAAGAACAAGTTCAACAAATCATCAAAGAAAAAGCTGAACAACACAAAGAAAAAGTTGGACAACAGAAGAGAGAAGAGAAAATGTACGGGCACATCAGCATGGACTTAACGCTATTGCTGTCAATTTAACGGACATGATCTTATTCATACATTTTTCATAATATAGGAACCCAATGTCTTCATTTTTAAAACTGGATACTGAACAAAAATTCATCTCTTACCTTTTAACGTGAGGACGAAGTAAGCATTTAAGCCTATAAAATAATTCAAATAAATACACGATAACCATACATATATCTTTAAAATTTATTTCTAATTTTATAATATTATTTATTTTATAATAATTAATATTTTATAAATTAAAATATTAATATATATTTAATTTTATGAAAAATATTAAATTTATTAATTGTTTATTATTATGATTATTAATTAAAAATAAAAAGTAAATTATAAAAAAAATCTGAAGTTGAAAATACGGTTAACACAAATAATTTAAATTAAATATTTTAACGTATTTCCGAATACGGTTAACATATTTGTTTCAAAAAAATTTGTTTTTAATTTTATAATATTATTGACTTTTTAATAATTAATATTTTATAAATTAAAATACTAGTTTTAAATTTTATGAAAAATAATAATTTTATTAATTGTTTATTATTATTAATAATAATAAAATAAAATTAAAAGAATATTAGTAAATATTTAATTAAAAAAAATTAAATTTATTAATTAATTATTAGTAGTAGTAAATAATAAAAAAGTAAAATAAAAAAAAAATTTAACTAACGTTTAAATGTTTCTTAACTAGTTTTCGAATACCAATTAATAAAATTTCTTAACGGATTTTCCATGAATTGCATCTGCTTCTTACAAAAAACCACAAATGAAAAAGATAGTTATTCCTTTCTCTCTCTCTCTCTTCGAAACCATCAATGGACAGACTTTAAATTTTCGTTTCTCTTTCTTCAATTACTCCCCCACCTCTGATTTACTAACTTTTGCTTTTCAGTTCTCGAATTTCTCCTCCTTCAATGCCAACCCCAATTGTCAGACATTATTCTCTGTCTTCCCAGTGGCCCCACACGGAAAATGGAAAAAAAAAGCCAAATAAGGAAAATGCCTACCTTCGAAAACAAAAGCCAAATAAGGAAATTGTCCCCACTGTAAATGGAACCCGTAGGCCTCACTTCAATTGACACACAAATCATTACTAGTATAACAATTTATTTGCGTATAAAAATATTATTATTTAATATAATTCACACATTTTGTTTTATAAAATTAATTAAAATAGTTATAATTAATTTTATCTAATTATACAAAACTTGATTATAATAAATTATCTTAGTCGTAAAGAAAATATATATTTACATATTTTATTTTAATTATAATAAATTATCTTAGTCTTAAATATGTGTGTATATATATATATATATATATATATATATATATATATATATATTTATTTATTTAAGAGTAAATATGAGTTAGGGGTCGTTGAAGTATAACTTCCCCTTAATTAAATAAGTTAATATTTTATTATTGATTAGGATCGTAAAAAGAAAAACCAAAATAGCTCTTCCGTTTTTGAATTGAGTAAGATAATGATGCGAGAAAGTTAAATGCAGTGGTAACAGAGTTGTTCAGCAATAAAAGAGCCTCCATTTCCATGTGTGGCCTTCATCACTGGACAAGTATCGATGGCACAAAAGATGATTAAAGAAAGAAAACGATAACATTACTAAATTTATTCAAAATACGACGAATAAGACTGATAATAGAAGCACCAACAAGCCTAAGTTACTCTGGTGAGTGGTGAGCAGTGTGAAGGCATAAGGATTAGCGTGTGTCTCTGAGGTGCGTGAGATGAGCAATGAGCGCAGTTAAATTATTGTGAGAGGACCCTCCATCCCCAACAGCTTCTTTAGCCTTATCCGATAACTCCTTTGCACGCCGTCTCATTTCCTCAGCTTCATCACCGCCGTCCATCACCCTCCTCACAGCCTTCTCGATGCAATCTCTGGTGACCAGTTTCTCCCTCTCCCCATAGCCGGTCTCTCTCCACTCGGTGGCGCCCACCTCCACTGCCACCCCACGTACCTCGGTAACCAGCCTCTCGTTGTAGAACTGATCCCCTAACACCGGCCACGTCAGCATGGGAACTCCAGCTGTAGCGGCCTCTAAAGTAGAGTTCCAACCGCAGTGAGTCAGAAAGGCACCAATAGCATTGTGGGCCAGGATAACAAGCTGCGGGGCCCACCCCCTGATGATCAGTCCCTTCTCTGCGTTCCTCTCTTCGAACCCCTTCGGTAACCACTTCGCCTTCTCCTCTTCGCTCTCGTTCTCCTTCCCCTTCTTCTCCGGAACCACCCATATGAAATTATGGGCCGCTTCTTCCAGCCCGCACGCCATCTCGAAAAGCTGTTTATCCGGAAACCGACACACGCTACCGAAGGATACGTACACAACAGACTTCGCCTGCTTCGAGTTCAGCCAACTCACACACTCCTCCTCACTCACCACGCTCTTCTCGCCCCTCTCTTCACCGACTTTCGCAGCCAGAAACGCTGGCCCAAGATGCCAGGCTTTGTGGGCCTTGCATTTTTGGTAGTGCTGGATGTACTCTTCTCCGTCAAGCTCCACGAAGCTGTTCACGATGAGACCGTCGCTCTTCATCTCTGTTTTCAGGAGCCTCTCCAAGAAGGTAGTGACCCCCTTGGGTGGTCTGGAGCACAAGGTGATGCGGTGGGGAAGATCAAAGATCACGACGGGGCCGGCGTTGGAAACAAGTGCGGGGTTCGATATCACGGACTCCATGGCGGCCACGGTGAAGAGGGGGAAGCCGTTGAAGGCGAGTCTGGCTATCCGGAGATTGCTCGCTACGTCGTGTACCCAGGAGTGGATGAAGTCTGCGATGACGCAATCTGGTGGGTGCTGCTCTAGGAAACTGGTGATGGGGACACGGAGGAGCATGCTGTCGCGGTAGAACTTTCCGGCACTTTCATCGTCATTGGCGGCGGACATGAGTTGTACGCCGCCGGGGAATCCGGCTTCTTGGGCGGGGAAGTCGACGACATGGAGGAGGAGGGAGGGGCTGGATTTGCGAAGGATTTGGGCGTAGGAGGGAGTGGTGATGACGGTGACGCGGTGACCACGTGCGGCGAATAGTGTAGCTATGTTGCAGAGAGGGATGAGATGGCCTGGTGCTAGGAAAGGAATGAAGTAAATGTTGAGTGGTGATTGTTCACTATCCATTGCTCTGAGAAGCTTCACACAATGTTTTTCCTCCCTAAGTTGTCCACGGTGCTTATATATCATGCTTGGGAACGAAGCTCTTGTTCATTGTTCTGTTTTATTTTATACAAGAATCCAAGTGTACAAAATACTATTTTATTCTAGCTAGTCCGTGTAGCACGAGTTTAGTTTTGGCTTAAATATTTTATTATAACGATTCAAATATTAGAATGGGGTGAGCTTTCCATGGTGAACTCCAACAAGAAGGCATCTGTTGGGAACGATGTGGGATAAAGTTTGATTCCAGAAATCTACAACAGCAGCACTCCCCATATAATAATATAATTTTTTTATTGATCATCACGAATTAAAAACAGCCGCAGATCAAACAAGAACTTTATGAGCGAAATCTGTTGTCGAAAATCTCTTTTTTTTTTTTTCAATTCCAAAGCGAAATCTAGCTTCTCTTGATAACGCTATCACCTTAATATTCTTTTGTTGATGGTCTGACACTTTTTTTGGACGTTTTCTAGGATCAAAGGGAAAGGCTAAAATGAGCACTACGGGCGTTTCATTCTCTTGGATCTTATATTTTATTGCGCGGGAGGTACAGTGCTTGTTAAGAATTGCTCCATCGTCTCATCGGAAATGTTTCAAATCTCTAAGTTTTCAACTTTTATATCTCACTATTACAAAAAATACACTTTTTATAAAGATTTTTTATACTGTTGAAATCACCAGCTATAGAAAAAGATACGATGCCAATTTCGTAAATAAAATAACCAGCTATAGAAAAAGATATGATGCCAATTTCGTAAATAAAATAAGTTTTTTTATGTCTCTTACACTCAAATAAATCAAATAAAGTATAAAAAATGACAAATGGCAAAGTTATAATAAATTATAAAGATTTTTATACCGGTTATATTTAAAATAGCTATAGAAAAATGTTATTTTTATACCTATTGAACTTATATTATAACCGGTTTGGAAGAAAAATGTAATATTAAAAAATATTTCTAAATTTCTAAAAACATCACAAAAGATATTTTCCCTTCTTCCCCGTTCACAACCAAACCCCACAACCCACTGACCACACCCTCTAGTAACCCCTCTTTCCCTTCCTCTCGCCTCCGCCACCACCGTGCCATTTACGCCATTGCCAACTCGGTTCAACCTCCACAATAGCCACCGAGTCAACCATTCTGGTAAGTATCGAGTCGACATGCTCTCTGAATCGCTCCCCTTCATCCAGAAATTTCGCTGCAAAACTATAGTCGTCAAGTATGATGGCGCCGCCATGAACAAGGTCGGGGCCACTACAGCAGGTCTCTCCAGCCTCGATGGCTGCATCCTCACCGCCCGTCCCAACCCAAGGCCGCGGATCTAGGCTTCGTCGGCGAGGTCGGACTTATCCTGGCCAGAGAATATTCGGACTCTAATTACACTAATGCATTCTAAGGTTCTTGGCCTTTATTTTATCCCTCTGTTGTACAATTTTATTTACTTTCTTCTTTCTGGTCATGTTATCGTGTTGTTTGAGTGTTATCAACTATATTCTTCGTGTAAATTATAAATAATTGTTGTAATTAAAGATAACCATATGTATATAGATACAGTACTAAGACTATTGATTGAGCCTCCAAATGATAGATTTTAAGTGAGAAAGTACCAAAAAGAAACTAGATCTTCCAAAGAACCTGGTACCTCGAATTTTGATAAGTCAAAGCCCGGTTCTAGGTGGCATGCGTTTCTTCAACTGTTGAGGGTCAAATCGAAGAAGCCGGTGGCCACATTGTATCCTCTAAGTGTCCTCAAACTCTCCAGAAGATTCACCAGTGGCAGGAGGGAGACTGTGATAGATTCTTCTTCCTTTCATAGTTCACCCTGGAAAATCTTCACTCACCATGTGATACAAATTGCAACCAATTACTTCGCCCAAGGTATGAAATATGCTTAATGGATGATTACATTAATGTTATCCTGTTAAAAGTTGTTGCAGATGTTTACTTCATTTCCCTTTTACAATAATCACCTGATATTGGTGGATTTGTTAACTTACTTCAAATATAAACGAAGTTAAGCAATCTCAATCAAACTTATTGATGCATTTCCCTTGTCTACTTTAACACGGTTGGTTGCAGATATCAATTGCATCAATATTTTTTCTATTTTCACTCATAACAACTTTCTTTTTGTTTATTCTTTAGTGGTTAGCATGCCTGTTACAGAGATTAAACTCATTACATTGGTGGTGCAGAAAATTGTATTGGAAAAGGTGGTTATGCTGAGGTTTACAAAGGATGTTTGCCAAATGGTCAGCTGGTGGCGATTAAACGATTGGCACGTGGAGCAGAAAACGAAACTACGGGGGACTTCTTATCAGAACATGGCATAATGGTTCGCGTAAACCATCCCAATACTGCTAATGTAGTTGGCTATGGAGTGGAGGGAGGAATGCATTCTATATATATATATATATATATATAT